GCGAGACAAGCCTGTTAACAATCACACCACATCGAGGTACCGGAAAGTTTTACTAAGCGTAGCTTAAATATGGCACAAGGCTGAAAGTAGGGGGCACTTAGTGAGGATCGAACTCACCTTTCAGTAGTAAATGATCTAGCAGGACATGCTTGCTAACGATTACGCCACGCCGAGGTACCCAAGTAACACTGTTGGATATTGCAAGTTTTATAGTTACGAAAGACAATTTTCCCATACAGATAACCGCTATTGGTTTGATTTTGTTTACGGCATAACAACCTCAATGGGTTATTTTAATGCCGATAAGATTTGTATTGCTAGTAAAATGTTTTGCTTGTAATATTTTTCCCAAAAATATAATGCTGTAATATTTTTTCAAAAATTTATTACTGGTAATTTTTTTTTTTTCAAAAATATATTGCTGGTAAAAACTTTTCCAAAAAAGTATTGCTGGTATTAAAACCTATTTTTATACTTTCATAGTGCTTTGTCCCCTTTTGGAAGGCCAACCACTTGCCCACAAACGGGGCCCTGACAGGTGCCACCACCCCAGGCCAGGGCAAACCCGGGAACTCCAGTAACTAAGAGATGTTTCCACGCTCATTAAAACCTCCCGATCAGAAGGCCTGCTGTCGGATGCAGTTCATTGTCTTACCCAGGACGCGGATATAGTTTATCGTCATACCCAGGACGACCACCATCGCTTACCCATTTTCGCCCATGCTGAACATGAGTTTGAAGGCCAAAGATGGCGGCGTGTTACAGTGCAAGATATTGCTTTGTTTATGTTGAGACACGAAACTAAGCAGATTTGAGTTTATGAGACACTATTCCACATCGGTTGATCGTCGAAGAACTCCGTCGCTAAGAGGGTCTGAAAGCGCATGGGTTTTCCCCTGCCAAGTTGTAACCAGGTTCAAATCCTGCTGGCGAGCGAATCTTTTTCTTTAACGAAATTTCTCGAATATTCAGGCCAAAAATAAATAAATGTAGTAAGATATATAATTAATGTATATTAGTATCTGTTTGTGGGATCAGGTTGAGATCATAGACAAAGAACACCATTGGAAAATTCGCAAACTTAACGAATCAGTACATATGTTAGGCCACAAAAATCTCCTGAGCCGACCAAGCATAGAAATGAATGCAATATGGGAACTAGTAATAAGGAGTGTCAGAGAAAAGTGATAATAACAACGAAAACTGAAATATGAGCTCTGGTAAAAACATGAAATGATAACAGCAAAAGTTGGTAAAAAATGGTTGCTGAAGTCATTAGGTTTATAATACCCAGAAATTCATACCCAGATGTCCTCAAGGACACACGGCAGAGTAGATAAAGGCGTTGGTTAGATCCAGTGACAGGACTCAAACAGTGTGAGTTCAATACCCAGTTAAGGCAGTCGAGAACTTGGTGAGGGGAATTAACAGGAGGTAACTGACACTCATTAAAACATGGCACGTGGAAGTAGAACAGTCTACCCCAGTGAGCGAAATAAAGGATTCAATTCGACATTCCAACCACCTGAAGAAAGCCGGAGCGTACAACGGCCGAATCGTTGTAATAGATATGGCGACAAAGATGAGGACAATAGTCCGAATAATATAAATAGTGTAATGTATATTAGGTTACTCAGAAAATAATCTGTGGTTTTAGAATCTTTTTTTAAATAGGTATCACCCCATGCAAGGCAGTAAAACTATTAGAAAACAAGAAGTTACAGGGTCTGGAATAAATAGCAACAGAACCATTAATAATGATCGAAAAGATAAGGACAGTAGAGGAGGACAGTAGATAGCGATTGAGATTACATTTAAATTTTTGCTGATTAAAGTTGGCTGGAAAAAAATGGAGCCGGAAGGGAGTTCCACAAGAGAAAAGTGTGAGAGAAGAACTGATGGCTTCATCTAACCAACTCAACCTTAAGTTGATGAGATTTCGTCGGCAGTCAAGTACTTCACTGTAATTCAAAAACTCTAGGTCCCATGACGAAGAGCTCGTTCGAACAATTACCAGGAAAGTATTTATAGAAAAGACATAGGCAAACCTTAGGCCGGTGGGAAAGTGACTGAAGACGAGTCACCAGATCAGAACCAATAATATTGCTGATTTTTCTTTGGATTTCAACAAGGATCTCAAAATAATTAGCAAGGTCACCGGACCATATGTGACAGCAATATTCTAAGCATGGACGGTAATCAACACTTATTCTTGAATTAATGTATTTAAACAGTGGTTTAAATCAATCAAAATAGGAAACCTGGACATCTATACATTTCTCCCATAAAGTTAAAGGTTATTTATGCCTTTACGATAACACTACAAGTAATACAAGAAATGATGTTTCTGCATTTCCTTTTCATTTTGGCTTAAAAATAGTCTTGAAAACGTGGTAGTCAGTTGGTAAGATCAAGGGAATATGGTGGATGTGTCAAGGTATCGTATACCAAGTCTGCAGGCTCATCTTGTCAATAGGTTGCTGACCATTGTCATGAAGTATAATTGGACCACATCGATTCACCAGTGCCGGTTGTATTTTGCTTAACTGAATGTGCATGTCACCCAGTTGCTGAAAGTAAACTTCGGCAGAGATGCTCTGGTTAGATTCCAGAAAACTGCAATGGATAATACCAACGGTGGACAACGAGTCTCCATAAACATCTGTTGGTGGCATTTTGCTTTTGGAAAGTCTTTGGGCCCTTCTCATGATCAAGCCACCGAGCCGATCGTTTACGATTTTCATAAAGAATGCATTTCTCACCACAAGTCACAATTCGATCCAGAAATGGATACTTCGATTTTCGAAAATACAACATCGAACGCACTTCAAAACGTCGAAATCTTTGACTTTTTCTGAGTTCAAGTGAAAGTTATTTACCAACTTTCTTCACATAGCCAATTGGTCTGATATTTTTGAAATGCTGACAGACATATAAAACATTTCTCTTACACTTTGACGTAGTTTTGTTAGACTAGTGTTTTCAGTTGTTGATTGTCAATTACAGACGGACATCCACTACCACCTTCATCTTTAAGACTCGTATTCCCACTGCGGAATTTCATAAAACAACACCGTACTGTCCAATGACAAGTGGATACTTTCCTACCCACAATGATCTGTTAATGTCGGCAGAAGTTTGAGAAGCATTATGACCAAGTTTGAATATTTTTTTCAAAACAAAATAAATGATTTTCTTCTTTTCTCAGGTTAAATGTGTTTTATGATAAATTCTGAATGGCATTGCTATAAAATTAACAAAGATGAAAATTTACCATTAGGAATGAGTAATATATTTTTGTGCAACTATTACATTATAGAACATAATGAAGAGCTTAATTCTCAAATCGGACATTATTTACCGATCAAGCTAATAATATTTTCATTCTCAAATCGGACATTATTTACCGGTCATCCTAATAATAATAATATTTTCATTCTCAAATCGGACATTATTTACCGGTCATCCTAATAATAATAATATTTTCATTCTCAAATCGGACATTATTTACCGGTCATCCTAATAATAATAATATTTTCATTCTCAAATTGGACATTATTTACCGGTCATCCTAATAATAATAATATTTTCATTCTCAAATCGGAAATTATTTACCGGTCAATCTAATAATATTTTCATTTTCAAATCGGACATTACTTTCCGATCAACATAATAATATTTTTATACTGAAATTGAACATTATTTTCTGTTCAACCTAATAATAATGTGAGGATTTAATCCGACAATAATGCCTCGTATATATTTTCCTACTATCTTCAACAAATACAGGGAACTCAATAACACTGTTGAATAGAGCAGGCTTTCAGCCCTAAACCTCTCTTTTTCCACATAGCCACCGTCACTGGCCGTGCTTTGTCGCTCTAAAAGTGATGCCTTCTATTGATTTCCACAGAAACTACAACAGGGAGCAGAGTAGGACTGTTGAATAAAGCAAGTTATCAGCAATAAAACTGTCTATTTTCACATAGTCATTCATTATGTATTTTCGCCAGCGATTACTAAGAGCCTGTCTGTCGTGTTCGTAAAAATCAGTACTAGCGGAATCCACCTACGTTATCGCACACACCATTGTCGAAAATAATCTCGATGTCAGCTACGGAGAACGTAGCTGGTTAACATGTACGCAGTGTTTTATTTGTAAAGTAATAAACACGTTAGATTTATAAATATTTTTACGTTACTTTGTCCCTCGTAAATGTATGTGTGTTTGTTTGTTGACCTTGCCACACCACAACTATGTAAATGACACATTCCTCTTAACACGTCCAGGCCATGGGATGAAAAAAATATGTGAAATGACATGCAAACAATAAAACAGGAGCGCTTGGAATTTGAGGTTCTATTAATTTCATTTTATTTAAACATCTGTCGCTCACAGTATGTTCATAACTTAGTCGTTCCATGTATCTCGTATTCTGTATTCTAAAGATTTATCACGAGTTAGATAGGTTTGAGCATATCCTTTGATCTACCTCATTCTGTTCCTACCTATATACCCCAGTCTTTTATATACCACATTACCTACTTGTCTCCTTATCTACCTTATTCTGTTCTTACCTATATATCCCAATCTTCCCTCGCCCTTTTATATACCACAATCCATTCTTGTCCCCTTATCTACCTCATTTTGTTCCTATCTAATTACCTCTATCTGCCCTCGCCCTTTTATATACCACAATCCATTCTTGTCTTCTTATCTACCTCATTTTGTTCCTATCTAATTACCTCAATCTGCCCTCGCCCTTTTATATACCACAATCCATTCTTGTCTTCTTATCTACCTCATTTTGTTCCTATCTAATTACCCCAATCTGCCCTCGCCCTTTTATATACCACAATCCATTCTTGTCTCCTTATCTACCTCATTTTGTTCCTATCTAATTACCCCAATCTGCCCTCGCCCTTTTATATACCACAATACATTCTTGTCTCCTTATCTACCTCATTTTGTTCCTGCGTATTTACGTATTCTGTAAGGTTTACAGCCACATCAAAGTTGTAACACCGGTCAACATACGATCACCGAAGTAAAGCAACGTCGAGCCTGGCCAGTACCTAGATGGGTGACTGCTTTGGAATAACAGGCGCCATAAGCTTGTATTTGCGGTTAGTGTAATGGATAATGACGCGGAATTGTTAATCGAAGAACCGAGTTCCAATTCCAATTGGCTTTGTTATATTCACTTACGCGCAAATACCCTTGGGGAAGGCATGAACCCATCTCTTCTCTTAATGGTTTAATTATTAGAACTTGTATCCCTAAACAAATATTATCTCCGAAAAGAAAATTGCCACTCACCACTTTTCTTTTTGTTTGTAAAAAAGAGACTGTATTTTCCTTCTAAATCTGAATAAATCCTTCACTCACCATCAATTAACAATCCCATGAGACCCGACTGCAATTGTGTAGCGATTTTGACTTGTTTTCGATGTAATAATATATATATATATATATATATATATATATATATATATATATATATATATATATATGAAGAAATATACTCTCAAGGTGTGCGAAATTTATGGGATAAAGTGCTCAATATCAGAGATAGAGCGTGTGTAAATATAAAATTGAAATAGCTTGGTAGTCTATTTTGGCGGTTATTTTGCCGGAAGTCGATTATTTATTTATTTATTTAGGTTAAATTATTTTGCTTGTTTTTTATCTATTTTTTTATTTTTATTTTTTATTTTTATTTCTTATCTTATATATTAATTTATTTATTTATTTTTATTTTAATCGGTGTTTTATTAAGTGCCAAAATAGACTACCCACAATGCACCACTGACCTCTATATTTAAATAGCCGAGAAAAAAAACAACACTCGTGGCCTGACGATTGCATATAGCATGAAACAGCCTGTCCCCTGTAAGTGTTGACTTCAATGTTCACTTTTATATTTACACACGCTCTATCTCTGATATTGAACGCTTTAGCCCATAAATATAGCACACCTTAAGAGTATATTTCTTCATAGATAGATAGATAGATAGATAAAAATGTATGTATGTGTGTGTGTGAGTTAAAGATCAAATGCAGATCAAATATGGATCGGAATCCGACAGGATGATGAAATGAAAGAACAAATAGGAAACGTTTATCAATCTAACATGTTCCACTTTTTAATAAAACTTCGTCAAAGACTGAGAGAAAACAGACAAAAAGACAGAATTTAAAAGACGAAACCATTTTGAACGCAATTATATTCCTTCTACTACACATAAAATGTATTGTTGGTCATTTTACTATAAATAAGTATTGTTGGTAATTTTCTTTATAGAAAAATGTATTGTTGGTATATTTACTATAAAATTGTATTTTTATACATTCATAGTGTTTTGGTTTTGGTTGGGTCGGGGTTCACTATTTGCCCATTTTTGTATTTACTCACCCCCCTACGAGATCAGGTTGTGACACAAAGTCGGTTTAATGTGGGGGGCCCGAGCGCGTACAACCCGGGCTAGGAACAAAAATTTCCCGCAACTCCCGCAACCATCAGTTGCGCTGGCCTCAGTGCAAGCACCGATCCCTCTCTCTGCAGCTCTTGCACAGGGCTGGGCACCTCTCAGTATAATTTTCTTCAGTTCTGTCATTTGATAGAGCTGCCCCTGAGCGCACTCTGCCCAAAGACAGAATTGCAACTAAGAGATGATAAATAATATGTTACAAACTACTCGAGAGAGTAATTTACACTATTTTCACTATTTGCCCATAGCTGGCGTCCTAACAGCTGTTACAACCCCGGGTCAAGGTCGACCTGGGACCAACAATAATTAGGAGGTGGTTCTACGGTCCTCAACACCTCCCGATCAGAGTCCTTGCTGCCGGATGTAGTTTATCGTTATATCCAGGATAACGGATATTGTTAGTTATTATTATTATTTAAAAAAAATGCATCAAGAACACACTGAAAAGGGGCAGCATCAAGCAAAATGTTTGGGAAAACCTAGTTCCCGATCGCTCATCCTCGAGAAAAGCAAGGTACAACAACTGGCGGTGGGGGGACGTTGAACAGAATTGTGTTGAGCATGAAAAACTGAAGGGAGGTCTTCGTAAGCGTCTTCATGTGAGCTTCCCTGGGAAGTAATGTTGTCGCGCCTGTCTAAGTAGGACAGTCCTAAAAATTATCAAATACGACACACTGAAAATTCACCAAAATATTAATGTAACAACTGCTGTAAGAAGGGCCCAACATTGCCACATCTGGGCAAAAGAATGTAAGACCCTAGCTGGACGTAAATGCCACATCCGCGCTGCCCATAGCTGAGAATAAACCAATCTATGGCTTCGCTCGAAAACGAATCACAAACGTCATGTGTGCACAATACACGTGTGTACGTGTCAGTGTGTGTATATGTGTGCGTGTGTGTGCGCGTGTTACCGAGTTACATTATGTACGCACAGATAAACATGCACTCACAGATACATGCTTATACACACATATTTGTGTGTATGTGTGTGGGGGGGGTCTATCCATCGCTGTGTGTTATTGTGACCGGTCGTCCACCATCTCTTTTTCTCTTTCTATCTCTCTCTGTTTTTGTTTCTGTGCGTCTCTGTCTATCATCTCTTTCGTTCTCTCTCTCTCACTTTCTCTTTCTCTCTTTCTCTCTTTCTATCTATCTCTTTCTCTTTCTCTCTCTCTCACACCTTCTGTTTTTGATTTTGTGCGTCTCTTTCAATCATCTCTTTCTCTCCTTCTCTCTTTCTCTCTTTTTTTCTCTTTATCTCTCTCTCTCTCTTTGTTTTTTTCTCTCTCTCTCTTTCTCTCTTTCCCTCTCTCTGTTTTTGTTTTTATGCATCACAATCATCTCTTTCTCTCACTCTCACTCTCCTCATTCTCTCTCCCTCCTCTCTCTCTCTTTCTCTCTCTCCCTGTCTCTCTCTCTCTCTCTCTCTCTCTCTCTGCTTTCGTTTCTGTGCATCACTGTCTATCATCATTTTCTCCCCCCTCTCTCTGTTTTTGTTTCTCTCCCTCCTCTCTCTTTTTCTCTCTTTCTTTCTCTCTCTTTCCCCTCTCTCTGTTTTTGTTTCTCTCCCTCCTCTCTCTCTCTTTCTTTCTCTCTTTCCCTCTCTCTGTTTTTGTTTCTCTCCCTCCTCTCTCTCTCTCTCTCTTTCTTTCTCTCTCTTTCCCTCTCTCTGTTTTTGTTTCTGTGCCTCACTGTCCATCTCTTTCACTTTCTCTCCCCTCTCTCTTTCTCTCCTTCTCCCTCTTTCTCTCTTTTTCTCTTTCTCTCTCTTTTTCTCTTTCTTTCTCTCTCTCTCTTTGTCTTTTTCTCTCTTTCCCTCTCCCTATTCTTGTTTCTGTGCATCACTATCATTTCTTTCTCTCCTTCTCTCTCTCTCTCTCTTTCTCTATCTCTGTTTTTGTTTCTGAGCATCACTGTCCATCTCTTTCTCTTTCTATCTCTCTCTCTCTTTCTCTCTCACTCTCTCTCTCCCTCTCCCTCTCTCGCGAAAGATATGAATTCTTCTGTTACCGCACAGCTATGGGTTAATAGTAGGACATGTATCTGGAAAAATCATTATTATTTTCAAAAAAATGTTAATGAAATATTCACTCGCGAAAAAAAAAAGAATTATTCTATCAATTCAAAATATGTTACGACGATAAATATGCCACTACGGCTTTATAAGCTGTAAAAAAATAAATCAATTCGGCAATCTGCCTCTGTATGTAGTTTTTTGGTTTTTTTTTCAGATGTCTGTCTGTCTTTAACTTGCCTAACTAACGAGCCACACCCATATACCCCTAACAAATTATCCTTCATCATTTCCCGCCAAAACTATGCATTGTCTTACATCTCAGACGTGTCATCTGCTTCCTTATTTCCGGCATCGATGATCTCGCAAGTACAATCGTTTTGCTTGTGTCGTCTGCCTGACAATTTCAGATTCTTTCGTTTCTCACCTTTGCACCATGAACATGCTGTTTTTCTTTGTTCAATCAAAGCTCTCAAACGTCTTTCCAATTCAAACTAGTTGCTTAAATGACGTCCGACGGAGTGCCGACAAGAAAACACAAATATTTAAAACTAAACTACCCGTGACCCGTTAGGTCACTGCTGGTTCAGGTTAAAAAATATTCAAGTTGATTTCAACATTCCAATGAAATGAAAGTTAATTTTATTATGATTCATTTAAATATTTCAATTCATTGATTTGGTTTTCAAGTTCTTGTTTAATGTTTTACTAATTATTTACAGTATTTAATAGAAATAGAAATCCCGGCGTAAAATGGAACTTTAAATCTGATTAAAAAAATATTTTTTAATATGCCAAAAAATATTTCTAAATTATATTCACTTGAAAATATTTTTAAAATATTGTTTATCAAAATCAAGCTGAAATAAAACATATATAAAGAATTTAATTATTTGATAAATGTTTTCTTCGTAATGAAGTCTACCTACATTATTTACATTATTCGGACTGTTATCCTCATCTTTACTGCCATATTCGCAACGGTGCGGCCTTTGTACGCTCCGGCCTTCCTCAGGTGATTATAATTTCGAAACGAACCCTTTATTTCGTCCACCAGGGTAGATTGCTCGAGTTCCACGTGACATGCCTTCAATATCTGTCTATATCTCTGAGATATTATGATTACTTACATGACTTACATTATTCGGACTGTTATCCTCATCTTCGTTGCCATATTCGCAACAGTTCGGCCGTTTTACGCTCCGGCTTGAATAAGTCCGGTGAGAAGATACATCCTTGTCGTACACACATTTATATTTTTGTATATATATATATATATATATATATATAGTCAGTGATACACGCTTAAGCGATCATGTATCGTTCGATACATGACTGGCGAGGCACATTTTTTCTGATTAGGATTCCATTTCTTTCTGTGATAGAGTAGTTGCAATCCAAGGCTATAGAACCCGGTCTGTCCTTCTATTTATCCATAGATTTGGAGAAGGGGAGGATTCATACCTTTCCCAAGGGTATTAGCACGTAAGTGAATGTAATGGCTTCGACTGGAATTCGAACTCAGCTCTCCGATTCCTCAATCCAAGCCTCTATCCATTACTCCACCATGCCTCCCTATAGATGTTAAATGCATGCCGTCT